TTCAAGATCCCAAAAACCTAGATAACAAATTCCACTTACTCTTCCATTGACATCCAATTGCCATTAACAGATACTAAAGCTAACCATTCACTATCTATAATAATGAAACAGAGCAAAGCATGTCAACCCAACAATCATATGTCAGTTTACAATCCACATTTTGTAAAGAGACTCTTTTAGCACACTTATCATTCTTCTTTCAAGAAGAAGATAAGTAGAATTTTATCACTAACCTGTAAACCATACCTCTGCACATTAAAACCTGCCACCCCAATTGCTGCAGGACTCAAATCAGTTGCAATGACTCTCCCACCAGTCCCCAAAATCCTCCCAATCCCAATAGCAATTGCACCACTCCCAGTCCCCAAATCAGCCCACAGACCCTCTCTTAACCCTTCATTACCCAAAACCACATCACCCACCAAATCAACAATGAGCTCAGTCTCAGGCCTTGGAATTAGAACCCCTTCTTGAACACAAAGCACCAAGTCCCTCCAATGCTCACACCCAACAACATACTGAAATGGCCTCCTCTCTTCAACCCTTTGCTTCCATAACATGTAAAGCTCCTCCAGGGCCACCCTTAGCCTAATGCTTCTCTGGTTGTTTTCCATACCTTCTGATTCTTCTTCGATTGCGTCCTCCATGAGCCATTTGATCTCTCTGCACAAAAGGGTTGAGTCTGGGCCATTGTCCAAGTCCACAAACGTTGACCCAACAGAGGAAGCGAGACTTTTGGCCCAGTCATGCCATTTCTGGAGGTCTGAGGAGGCGGCTGAGTGTATGGGTGGCTTCAGAAAGAGAGGGGTTTGAGGTTTGAGTGAAGTGGGTGGTGGTGATGATATTGAAGAAGAGCAAAAGGAGCGATGGAGGTTAGTGACAGAAGAGGGCTTAAGGAATGTTGAGAGTTTTGGTCTGAAGCTTAGCTTCATCGTTCATGTTGGTGCAGAAAGTTGAGGAATGGGATTCTGGGCTTTTATCCCTGTACTATCAGTATCTGGGTTTGAAATTGGGATGTTATTTATCACAAATTTATGGTTTTTTTTTAATTGGGAGCTGATTTTTCATTCCCATTTTCTCCATTTACACTCCCTTTTATTTTTTAATATTTTTTTAATCAATATGGTTCTTTTCTGTTATTTCTCTTTCCTATTCTACTTTTACCCTACATTAAGGAATTCATAACTAAAATTAAGAAAAGTTAACAAAAAATAAAAATAAATTTTGGAAATGGATAGAAATGTAAGTATTTGTAAGCTAAATTCTTTGTTTTTATTATTATTTAAAAACCAAGTATGTGAGTACTATTTATCTTTGTTGTAGTTAAAAGATAATAAATTTGTTGGGCTAACATGTTTATAGGTAGAAGACCTAAAGAATGTTGCTAACCAAACTGTCATTAAGAGCTTAGATATACAAAGAGCAAGGTATGCATAATAGTCTTAGATTTTTATTCTTTCAAAATATTAGTAAGTGATTGTACATGTCTTTTTATTGAAGGGAATTGTAGAGTAAGGGTAAAATAGGAAAGAGAAATAACAAAAAAGAACAAAATTAATTAAAAAGTATAAGTGGAGAACAAGGAAGTGGGAAAATCACCTCCCTTTTTTTTTGGTGAAATTTTTTAAGGGTTTTTTAAAAACAAAACAAAGGGATGAACAAGTGCATAGCCATTAAGTTATAGAAAAATTACTATCGCCTTTTCTAAAAAAAAAAAAAGGTTATAGAAAAATTTGGATTGTATTTTAAAAAATGGATTAAATTCTAATTTGAACTCCTCATTTGATAACATTAGTTGAATTAAACATATTATTTTAGATTAGGCCACAAATCATGTTTATGTGGACCCAAATTGTTTACATTTCTATCATGGAGTCGTTTTTTTTTAATTTTTTTTTTTAAAAAAAAGTATGAGTGAGTTGCAAGGAGCTTGTAGCTTTGTACCATCTTTATTTTATTTATTTGTTTATTTTCATAGTTAGTATAATCTGCTATGCAAGCGCGGTGAGATGATAAGCTAATTCTTATATCAATTTTTTTTTTTTTAGTACAAGCGATAGTCTAAACTATAAGGCAGAGAGATTTCTCACATACAACTAAGATACCATGGGATTCGAACCTGGGACATTGTGCTAGCTAGATCCAGCTGGCAATTCCTATATCATCCTAGTTAATATTAAAAGATGTCATGGTTTTGCATGAATCTGATACCAAAATATCTGTTGGAATACTCTCCTATGAATAAGATTTCATAAGGCACCTGCTCAAGTTTTGTGCATATTATAAACCCACCTCGTAAGGGGCGCAACATATTTAGAAAGAACCACCCTCCCTATTTACTTTCCGATCCAAAACAGGATTTGCCTACATCATAGTCACAATAGACTTCACCATATACCAGCAAAAAGGTCTTGGACGAAAATGCATCAAACCATATCGCTAAGCCAGATTACATGAGTATAAGAGTTTCTTAAACTTGAATCCTAGCAGGTCATTATTAGTCTTTGAAGAAGAGCTTTGCCTGCTCATCAGGGCGCAACATCAACCTGTGCAAGAAACATAGAAATTTGCAAAATTGGAAACTGAATAATAATATGCCTGCCTAATTGAATTGCTAACAGTTCGGGATTTCCAGGGTTAAAGAATTTAGGACGGAAAGGTAATAAATGTTTACAGGTAAAAAAAATTGAAATGCAATATTGCTGTGTAAAATGGAGTAAGTAACATAATTATTATTACAAGCATTTGGTGCAAGGGTAAAGAGAAAAGTACCAAGGCCAAAACTTATCCATTCAAGGCTACAGATCCTTTAATCCTTTTCATACAGTTAAAATTGAGGGAGGGTGACTATTCACATTCTTCTAATGGTAAAAGGTGGATTATGAATTTACCTCTTGATAGCAAGAAACATGTATATACAATTGGAAAGACAAGGTCAACCAATTCTGCTCCCTGGTGCAAGAAGCTCCATTTGTTCAGTAATATGATTCATATGTTGAGTTTTGTCCCATCCATTCTCCTCCGCCAACTTCAACTCTTGATCCGTGGTCCCCCCATCAGTGGAACTCAAATTAATTTCATCTACGTCACCAGTCAGAGGGCTCGCTGGAAGAAATTGTTCCCAGAAGATATCAGTAATTCCCGGAAGGTTAGAGCCCAGCAAAGCATCTACATCAGGCTCAGGAGAAAAGGCATCAGTTTCTGTAGGCAGGGTCCCATCCAAAACCGCAGACATATCCATGTACTCTGCATTCCCAGTCTCAGAGCTCATGAAGTTTGCGTTGGGGATTTCTACAGTGCTTTCTGGAACACCACCTTGCATTTGCGTTGACTCAGGCATAACTGCATCTTCTTGAAAATTATGCATGTTCTCTTCCAAAACTTGAGCTGCTTTAACACAATTGGTAACCGCATAAGGAGAATACTGGATCTCAGAAATGGTTGTAGAATGACAACTGTCGGGAAATCCAGACTCTTCTTCAGGCATATAACACTCCACAGAAGTTGGTGGAACCTCTGAAAAGGTCACGCCCAAAATCCGGTTAGAGGTGTCACCGCTTTCTAATGCATCAGAAGAAGGAACATTGTCAATCAGGAAAGCATCAGGATTGATTGACGGTTCCAGCCTAGGAGATGTATTCATCTTCAAGATCTGCCGCAGCATTGCTTTTGCTGCTTCATTCATTGAAGGTTGGTACTTCACCATTTGTCCATCGAGAGATTTGGTGCTAAGCTTCCCAACCAAAATTTCATCTTCTTGCCTTGGGAGTCTCCTTTTCTTATTGCTTCCAGTGATTCGCCTGTTGTTTTCATTTTGATGCTGTACAAGCTGGGATAAAAATCCAGGACTATGCATAGCCTTTGCAAGAAATGACATCATTTGCTGCTGCCGCTGCTCCATTCCCTGCACACGTTGTCCAACATTATGTAACTGATTATCTGTTGCTTGCTGTTTCTGCCTCAATCTAACAAGTTCCTGCATAAGACTGTTCTTGTCATTTTTAAGTCTTTCGACCTCTTCCTCCAGCCCAAGATTTCCCACCTCAACACATGCCCCAACCTGAGAGCTCTGCACTTGAGGTGGTGCTTGTTGATGACTCTGTGCATGAGCTGGTTTCCGCCTGCTGACAGTCTTCAAAAGGTGTTTCTGGCCTCTTAGAAACCCTTCATTTGCAAATTCCCATCGGTCTGGATCAACCTTTCTAAAACCCTGCAAATTGAATGCAACACCATAAATACTAAAATTATATAATGAAAATATAAGTCAAAAGTTACGCATACATCTTAAACTTTTTTTTTTTTGGAGCATAGGACAAAGAGCCAGAATCTCTCGTCTCATAATCCAGCCTCAGATAACAAGCACCATTCATAGGCATAATTGCAGTATCAACCCTCCAACAGCCAAATGCTGCAAAGGAACTTATTAGCTTTTGCCTCCTTTTCCACTCTTTATCATTTCTTTATTTATTTCCAATAACCAACACAAGTAAAACTTCTACTTTCTGCGAATTGCAATTGCTGATGATAAAAGGCTTGTTTCTCAGATATTAGGAGACAATTTTATTGCTGAATAAACAATATTATTGCAATGGTCACTGAACTTGTACCCAGGCACCACAAAATTTAAAAACTGAATCGAGGGACTAAAGTGGAACTTGGATATAAGTTCAGGGACTGTTGCAATAATTAAATCATAACAATAAATTACAACATAGTGAAAAAGATGTCCGCATTAGAAACAACAAAATAATGATACAATAGCCATTTATCGATATTAACCCACTACAGCTTGCCAGTCTTACTAGAGGTTGAAAATGGCAGATCCCTAAACAACTAAGAGGTGATACATCTCAACTGTTCAAATCTGATTTAACAACCAAGAAACAAGTTCTCGTTTAAGGACAGACACCTTATTAGAGTAATTCCATATACACAAAAACACATCCATGTACAAAAATACATACATATATAGATATAGATAAATACAAATATCGTATATATGCAATTTTGATCTCATATTACCAGTGAGCAAAGAATTCATGCTCACCAGTCATAGGATCAAAATCCAACGACTGATGTTCAAATTATGACAAAGCACTTTTCTTTGACATGCATGCTAGCTATTTGATTTTGATTTATTGGTCGGTGAACATGGATTTTTCTTGTTAACTGGTGCGTAGGAAACTGCTCGAACCACTCACCAGATTATGTCGGATACACACACCCAGGTTTGTGTATGTATGCATATTATATACATATATGCAGAAGTATAGTCATTTGCGATCGTCCTTCTATGGTTTAAATTTATAACCCTATTAAAAGTTCCAAATAATATGATATTAAACAAATAAGACAAAAACTAACAAAAGTGTCATATCCAAACACATGGATAATGCAACTGCCAAAAAAAAAAAAATGCTTAACTTCACCTTTCTTGTCTTACTAAACAAAACTTAAAAAAGAAAAAAAAAGAAACTGATTTCATGTATCTTCTAAAACACTAACTCCTGGTGGGAATGTATGAATTGAAAAGGAAGAAAGAAGTATTCCTAACTTATAATATCTGGAAGTAAGAGAAGGGGAAAGGAACAAACCTCAGGTGTACATACCCATTCATTTTACATCCCGCTAGTTTCTATTAACAATGCCAATAAGTATTTACCAAAACTAGATCACTACTTGATACCTGTCATCTGTAAGAGTTGAGACAACATGAATTACTACATTTTGGATTATGCCATATAACTACATCGCCCTTGTAGTGCAAAACATTTTCAACACATCACACTTTCAATCACTAACTACGTTGACATGTAAAAAGATCAAACTACTGAGCTTATAAGACCAAGTTGCCTGTCAGTGTCACCAAGTTTTAAAGAACTGTCTTCATCTGAATAAGATGGGAATTTAGAGGCTAAAGAAAGCTAAACATGCCAATCATTTGAAATTTTCTGGGATATCAGCAAATGCCTAAGGAACTTTTATGTTCCACTTTATACAAAATGGTTTCTTTACAA